CACCATGAGGGGGAACCCATGATATCACCCCCGCGGTGTTTTTCTTCTATACAGCTTATCGAGATCCCTTGCCCTTCAGGAGTTTCTTCTCAAGGCTTGACCCCCTTACGTGGAGTGCCTACCCACAGAGACCTGGAGAATCCGCATAAATTCGCGAGCACTCCAGATTTGCTTGCGGGATTCTCGGCAGGATTTTGTGGGACTCCAGGGGTACCCTGCAAGATTTGTTGGTCACTCTTGTGGGATTTGCCGTAGGACTCTCTGTGCAGGCGGGATTCTCTGCCTGCTTTTTTGGGTGAGGGCACTCCAGGCATACTCTGCAGGATTTGGCGGGCATTCCACCAAAATTCTTGAGAAGGCACTCCAGGGATAGCCGAGGTATATAAAACAACCCCGTACCGCGGTTGGGAAACAGAGAACAACATATGGTACACCTGCCACCAATCTAGGGAACATCTGTTTTGGCCTTGATTCAGGGTTTGAGAAAGCCCAAAATGGTCAAAAATCACAAAAATGTGCCATTTTGGTGGTTTCCAAGGCCGCCAAACTAGCGAAAAACCTTTGTGAGATTCAACATGGTCAAAATCACTGAAAATTGGCCATTTCGGGGGTTTCCAAGGCCGCCAAAGTAGGGAAAATCCCTGTGGTTTGGCCTCAATTCAAGGTTTGTGAAGGCCCAAGATGGTCAAAAATCACGAAAATTTGCCATTTTGGTGGTTTGCAAGGTCTTGGCCTCTGGAAGAAGAGGGAAGCTTATAGAAACATCACAATAGCTAAACCCTAAGCCTTAAACCTAAACCTGGCAAATCCCAGACCTTAACCCTAAACCCAAAACGAAAACCTTCGACAGTAACCCTAAACCCTAAACCCGCCAAACGCCCCAAACCCAAATCTAAAACCTCGGCCTGAAAACCCAAAACAAATCTAGCCTCTTTTCAGGGGGTGGATATACATTTTTCAGGTTCAAACTTGGGCTCCAACTCAGGTACAGAGCACCCAGCAAAACTTAATCTTGCCTTTTGTAGGGACTTATAGACCCAAAAGGCTTAAAGTGTACCCTACTGGACTGCTCAGCCAAAACGGGGGCATGCGGGGGCCCCGTTGGGATCTGGACAAAAGTTTAGGGCTTTTGGAGGTTTTAAGGTATAGGGTTTAGGGGTTAGGGTTTAGGGTTGACTGCTTATCTAAGGTTTCGGGCTTAGGGTTCGACAACCCGAATCGCGCGGGGACGCGGGTAGCGCAGTGGGTGGATATTCATTTCTCTGTACACCGTACACCCACGGCAGAGGCACCACCATGAATTATCGGCGTCAGGGTTTAAGGCATGCCCTGGTTTGAACTGAAGTGTTTAGGCCTTAGGGCTTAGGACGCGAGTATGTGTGTGTTGTCCCTTTTGTTTTGATCTTTGTCTCTGGAAAAAGAGAAAGAAGGAAATCAAAGTAGGGAACCAAGAGAGGCGCTAAACCCCAAACCCTGAACTCTGAACCTAAACCCTAGTGGGCCCAAGCCCTAAACCCTAAACCCAGGAAAACAACAAGCAAACAGAAAGAGCAAAGGAAGCAAAACCTGGCTCCTTTTCAGAAAGAGCGGGCAAATATAATTTGGATGTCGGCTACACAAGCCAAATCACGCGGGGACCCAAGTTTCACGTTTGAGCACGTGACGGCAGCCCGAGATAGAACGAGAAATTTAGGCTTAAGGGGGGTTTAGTGCCGGTTTCCTTGTTTTTTGTTTTTTTTATCTCTCTCTCTCTCTCTCTCTCTCTCTCTCTCTCTGTCTCTCTCTCTCTCCCTCTCTCTCTCTCTCTCTCGCTCTCTCTCTTTTTCTCTCTCTAAAAGAACGTGTCCCCCCCACCCCCGGCCCGGACCCGCAGCCAAAAAGCAAATGTGCCCCTGCACCCACAGCAATAACAAGAACACGCCCCGCACCAGCAACAGAAAATGCCTGCAACAAGGAAAAATGACACTCTTACCGACGACGTTGTAATAGTGGCTCCGATTGTGGCCTGAGGTGTTTGGAATTTGGCAAGTGTACTTCTGTTTCAGATGCTTGGGCCCCACTCCACAGCGTGCAACTTCCCCCGAAGACTTTTCTCCCCCAAGGCCCAGAGGGCTGCCAGCCCTTGGCCCTCCAGCTCGGCCAGCTCACGCAGCTCCGAGAGCTCAGCTTGGACCTGCATGGTCGGGGACGTGGAGTGCTTGTGGGCTGGTGGGCTCTTGGCACTTGAGCATGGGAGGCCTGAAGATGCTCTTCCGTAAGTGCTTCACCAGACACCACTCCACAGCTGAAATGTTCTGAGACTCGTCCACGCAGCCCAAGGTCCAGAGCAAGGCCGGTTTCTGGCCGATACCTTCAAACAGCTCGCGCAGCTGCAGGTGCTGAGCCTCACCTTGAGCGGCCAGGGGCCTCGGAGGAAGTAAAGAAAAGGTAGGATGGTGGTTTGGACGCGCGGGCCTGCGAGGTTCTGGGGTTCGGTCCCAGCTTTTTTGGAGGGTTTGGGCTTTCTACTGCAATTCTGGGGTTCATTTCCATTCGTGATCAGGGCCGAATCGTTACAGTAGTGTGGTTGAACAGCGATGCAAAGAACTACTTTCAGATCTCAATAAAGTCCGATTTCGTCTGGGGTTGAACAGGGGAGTGGGAGGGATCTGCGTGAGCACGTGCCAACAGGAGGAAATGGGACCTTCATGCTGTGCGCTGATGAAGTCGTGCAACTTTTGGTGGCGGAGTTTTTTTTTTTTTTTACCGAGGCGCGGACGCTGCCCATTCTCTGGCCGATGCGCTCGGTTGGGTCGGGCAGCTCCAAAAGCTGAGCGTGGACCTGAGCCAGAGCAAAATCGGCCCGGTGGCCCGGAGTGCTTTCTGCCCATCCACGAAGGACACCCCTTCAAGGTGTCCGAGTGAAGCTTAGGGAGTTCTTAGCATCCGCACTGAAAGTCACAATGTGCGCTGCTGGTGTCCTGCGCGCATTTTGTGCCCCTTGATGTTCTTCATTTCTGTAGGACCTCAACAAAGACATAGGGGTATCCCACTCATGGGGGGGGGTTCCCTGCAGCATCATGCATGACTTCTCCAACCACGGAAGCTTTCAAGTGAACGTCGGATTTTGTTCCAAAATTCCTGCAAATTCATGCATGGCTTTCCTTGTGTTTACTTAATTCAGTCTCTCAGAGAGTGAAAGGCGATGCGTAAGGAATGGAACTGAGGAGGAGGGAGAATGAAGAAACACAAAGTTCACGCAATGACTTTCATATCGGATTCTTGAAGATTTGCCGGCAAATTGGAGTTATCCACCTGGGCATTAGGAACCCCACGGCAAGTCCAAGTCGTATTCCGAATCTTTTGAACAGTTTATCGCGCAACACGCAAAAAAACACGGTATTTACCACGTTTCCGGCCCCTCGGACCCCCCCAAGCGAGCATCATGAGCATCAGCGAGGCCCTCATGAGCATGAGCGAGGCTCCGGAGCCGGGACCCGAGGGGTCTGGAGAAATGCCTTGGGTGTCAATGATGCTCACCGTGGAGGCGCGGCAGTGCCCCGAAAGGAGGTGTGTGTCGAAACACACGAAAAACGCGGTATTTACGGTGTTTTCTGGCTTTATTGAGGTGCCCGGGCCCTCCTGTGGCCCCAGGGGCGGGTCGCTGATGCTCATGATGCTCGCCCCTGTTGGGGGGGGGTACCCCCCCAAAACTTGAGGTATAAGGTCAGTTTTCGCACGTTCGCCCAAGGTCAAAAAGCAGGGTCGATGATGCGCGCCGGGTCACGCATCAGGCGTTTGGCGGCCCTCCAAAAACGCAAAAAAAACATGGTATTTACGATGTTTTCGGCACTTCCACGCATTCGCGTTTGGGACCCCGCTCGGAGCCCTCCCGGAGCTCCCCGGAGCCTCATGCAAGGAGACATGCCATTTTCAGGGCGGGTCGGCGCACGGGCGGGTGGCGCCCGCATAAAGGCAAGCCTTTAGGCTAGCCGTGCTCCGCACTGGACCACGACGGTAGCGGGGGTCGGCGGATAATGTGTGCTCAGAAAAAGTTTCTCTGGAAATCCTTGATTTTGGACATGTATTTTCTTTTTTTTTTGCACTTGCCTTCGTGGAAATCCTCTTTTCTCCTGATTTCCATGCTCTCCTTAAAAATGTTCAGTAGAACGGTGGTCCAGGAAAATTTCGCTCGACCTGCGACGGTGCTTAACGGCATGCCGGAGGTGGGCTGGGCGTGGTCCAGGGCCAGACACCGTGAGAGTAGCCGCGTGGCCATCTCTTCTTCCGGTGAGTGTTGAATCCGATCCTGCTTTGGTGGGGTTTGGCTCGGGAGGGGGGAGCGGGAAGGGCGGATCGGGAAAGCGTCGGGCAGCTGAGGGGGCAAAATGCACCTTTCATGTACTCTTGAAAAATTGCAGAGGCGCAGGGCCGATTCAGGAAGGGAGCACAGCGAGCAAAGGGAGCACAGGGAGCACTGGGAGCACAGGGAGCTGGAAGCGACAAGCCCCCCTGACGTCTGGATGTCTAACAAAATAGCTTTGGTTCTAACGTGTTCTAATTGCAGGGTGTGTGAGGTTTGTAATTGAGGAGACTTACTGAACGGAGAAGAAACGTTCCGGGAACGGCCGGACAGTGTCACAGCTGAACAGCAATCCCCCGCTTGTCGGAGAGTTCAGAGCTCGAAGCGCAAGGCCGGCTTCGAGTGTTGAGCATAGGATCTGCAGTGAACCGCTCGGAATTGCCGGCTTCCAAGGGCAGCCTCAGCTTTCAAAGAGCATGTCAGACAAAGCGTTCCCGAAAAGCCCAGAAAGTGTTCGGACAAAAGCATCTAGGGGGAGGCTCTGGAAGAACAGCAATCCCGCTTGTGGGCGAGCTGAGAGCTCGAAGCGCAAGGCTGCTTGAGGCGGTTGAGGGCCAACTCTGGTTTTGAACGGTTTCAGGATCCTGTGCCCCCAACAAGTGGGGGCGAGCCACACTGCCTTGAGACATCTTGAGACCGAAGACTTCCTCCCACCGAGGCAAGGAAGGCTGCGAGCACTTGGCCAGCGCACTGGGCCACCTCACGCAGCTCCGAGCGCTCAGCCTGAACCTGGAACACAACAACATCGGCCCGGGGACTCGGAGCGCTTTTCGGGCCGGGGGTGGGGTGGGATGGGGTGGTTTCTTTTTGCCCACCCAAGGTTCCTTTAGCTAATTGCTGCATGGCTGATTTGTTTTTTGGAGAAGGCCGCATGAAATCTTTGGCTTTCTTCTCCTCAGCATGTTCATAGACTTGAACACAAGAAACATCGTAAACATAAGGGAGCAAAAGAGCTCATGTTCACTTTTCGAGGCCCGGGAGTTTCAGTAGCCGTCCGTTCAGTCCACGGTCCTTAGTCATTTGAAGGCTTGCCCGAAGTGAATGGAATCGAGCGATGGGAGCGCGCGGAACGTGCACAAAGACTCATGGGTCACACATGCACACTGAACTCCGGGGGCCGTTCAGCGAGTCCCATCCGAATTCTTCCATGCCGAAAGTCTAAACACGGCGCAGCTGAAAAGCCGCAGGGCGCTCTCGTCTCAAGCCTGAACCCCAGCCTTTTATGCTGCGCCCAGACCCTGAAACGCTAAGTTGAAAAAAGGGATGCAGGTGTCAGTGAGAGAGCGGGAGAGAAGTTGAAGTTGCGTCTCCGTAGAGTTGTGACATAGTGTGACAGTGAATGTATTGAGATCAAACCGCGTGGTACAGGGCCTGGCGGGAGACGTTTCTTGACTCCTGTAGGAATTCAAAGGAGAGATAAGGTACCGGTATACCCTGACTTCCCTTACCACGGAAGCTTGCAAGTGAGAATAGGATTTTGTGTAGTGTTCATCAACAAGTTCCTTGTAATATCATAATATCATGCATGACTTTCCTTGTACTCACTTCTCGAATTCAGTAACCTTTTAAGACGCATGTCAGAAGAAGTGTTCCGGGAACGGCCTGAAAGTGTCACAGCTCGGAAAAGAGCTTGGGAGAGGCTCTGGAAGTCACGGGGATTGAGAGTCGGCTGGATCGGGGAGCAGGGTTCGGAGGGCAATCCCCTCGCTCTTCGGAGAGCTGAGAGCATGGTCGAGGCGGGGGTTTGAACGTCCCCGGCTTCGAGTCTCGAAGGGAAAGAAAGGGAGAGGAAGATCTGCAACGTCGCGTGCTCCAGGGTGTATGCAGGGTAGGGGATGTTAGATTGTTGGAGAGGCCGTAAAGCCCCCAAAGGCAGCCTCAGCTTCAGATTTGCTTTCTTCGAGTCGTGTCCGGGATCCGGGTCCCCCCCCCAAAAAAAAAACAAAAGCAAAAACAGGGGGGCCACCTTCATTGCCTTGGAGCGACGACTTCTCTCCCTTTCCACCCCATTGCAAGTCGGAATCCTAACTCTCAACTTCAGTTCTGAAGGCCCCAGTTCAGAGGCAGAGGCGTTCCGGAAGCCCAACGACAGCTTCAGCTTCGGAATGGCCCGGTTCAGGATCCTGCCCCTCAAAACAGGGCGAACTCCTTCCAACCCCCCTCGCAAGGCACGGAAGGCTGCGAGCGCTTGGCCGGCGAACTGGGCCGCCTCACGCAGCTCCGAGAGCTCAGCCTGGAGCTGTCATGGAACGACGTCGGCCCGGGGACTCGGAGCGCTTTGTGTCCAGCCAGGCTACTGAGGGCCTCGTACCAAAAGTCCAGGGAATGGAACAGGCCCGGCTTTTTGGTGTGAAAGCTTCCATGCTGAGCCCTTCTAGAAGGTTTCAACTTCCAGCGTAATCACTCGGAGTCGGCGTCAGCGGGTTCGGCTTTTGAAGCCAAAGAGCTGTGAGCACAAGTCGTTGCAGACGATATTGTTTCAGTGGCCGGCTCCATGTAATCCTCTTTCGTTCCTTTTGCTCCATCCATGTAAGTTGGTCAGCTCCATCCATGTAATCTCCTCCTCCGTTCCGTTTAGTGTTTCCTCTGTTTTTGGACCTAACCTGCGGCCTCCTGCTTCGGGGTGTCGGAGAAGGGTCCCAGCATTTGGGATTTGGCTACCAAGGAGGCCTGGGCTCCCGAGGTCCCAACTCGAGTTCTGAAGTTCCCAGCCTAGGGGGCCTTCCAACTGGCTTGGTTCCAGCCATGTTCAGGATTCCGCCCCCACAAACAGGGCGGCTTCCGCTGCCTTGAGTGGAAGACTTCACCTTGCCACCGCCTCCCAAGGCGACGACGGCTGCCAGCACGTGGCCGGCGCCCTCGGCCGCCTCGCGCAGCTCGAGAAGCTGAGCGTGAACCTGAAAAGTAACAGTATCGGCCCGGGGACCCAGGGCGCTTTCGGCCATGGTGGAGTGGACTTTTACTCCCACCCACCTAGGCAAGGCATGGCAAGGCCAATGCTTGCTCTACTAGTCTTGAAACTGAAAACTTCGCTCGACCTGTGACTGTTGTTCTTAAATTAAGGGCACACAGGAGGTCTGGGGTTCACACATGTGATCTGGAAACATGAATATGTACTCAGAAACAGTTTCACTGGAAGCCTTTGAGTTTTGCATGTATTTGTTTTTGTTTTGCAATAGCTTTTGCGGGATTTTGCAATAGCTTTTGCGAGATTTTGCAATAGCTTTTGCGGGATTTTGCAATAGCTTTTTCATTGATACACTTTCGAGGTCGCTTCGTGGCCATCATTTTCGGAGCCGAGGTAAAAATCTAGGAAAATCTAGCCCCGAGCTCCGTTTGCTGGTCGGCTAGAGAAAACTAGAAAAAGCTAGAAAAAACTAGACTTTTCATTCGCTGAATTGCTGATATTTCCTGGTCATCAAGACTGTGGTTTCGGGTTTAAAGGGTTGGGGCTCACTACCTTGTCATGGGTTAGGACGTTGCTGCCGAACAGGTTTCAGGGATGTCTGTAATTTGGATTGCTGAAGCTTTAGTTTTCGGGTTCAGGGCTAGTGTACTGTCAGAGGTGTTCAGGGTTTAGTGCGTTGCTTTCAAGAGTTTTCGGGTTCAGGGTTTAGAGTGTTTCGGATTGGACACCCGGACATCACACTCGGAACGATTGTTGATCAAGGCTTTTCGGGTTCAGGTCTTATTGTGTTTGGGATTGGACACCCCCCCAAGTGGCTTTTCGGGCTGAGCAAAAGCTAGACTTTTCCGAGCCTCGGGGCCCCGTGTTTCCATACAACCTATGCCTCAATCTAAACGGAGCGCTGAACTTTTCTTTCACCACGTCCAATCCCATGCTCTCGAAGGTGTTTTCTTGAGCCGGGCTAGGCCTTTCCATGCCAAGGCTGGCAAAAAGCTAGACTTTTCCGAGTAAAAGCTAAACTTTTCCGGGCAAATGCTAGACTTTTCCGGGTAAAAGCTAGACTTTTCCGGGTAAATGCTAGATTTTTCCAGGATTTCGGCCGGGCCTCGGGGCCCCGTGTTTCCATGCAACAACTGCTTCATCTAACCGGAACAGCCCCACGTACAAGGATGACCTAGGTGCATCATGCCATATGGGCCCCATGGGCCCCAAGAACCTGACCTCAGACCCTGCCAGTCAGTAGGCAGGCTTCTCTTGCCTGGACACTTTGTTGCAAGGACGGTATGGGCGCAAAAGGTGACATTACCATTCACGCCCTTCTGATTTTCATTTTGATTTCCAGGGCCCAAGTATTTTGGTTGTAGGGTTTGAGTTCAGGGTTAGGGGTCCGGAATTGGGCTCATGTCCTACTTAGTGTCCACAGAGTTGAAGGTTTCCAGAGACAGAGTCGCCAATCATCAAGAACAAATCTTAGAAATGTTCTGAAAATTGAGCGAAGGAAAACTTTGGAACCTTTGGTTGCTAAGCAAAGGAAACATACTGGAAAAATCTAGCGCCTTTCTTCGTGTTCCGGCTTCGAAGAAGACGGTCTGGAAGCAGATACTAAAGCGATTCTAAGACTTTTGGATGGCAAAAGAACTTAACGCAAAACGGCTTAAAGGGATGAGACCTTAGTATATTAGTATATAGGGATGAGTGACGACGAGTTCGAATGTTGTTTTATATGTAAGTATCACGAAGAGAACCTTAGAAGAATATTTAACATGTTTCCAGATAACATCATTGAAAACGTAAGCATGTTTAACGGTTGTAAAAAATGTGACAAAATGAGAGAGTATGATGAAACCATAAATGAAATAATGGAGATAAAGAAACGCAAAGGCAAAAGAGGCAAGATGAATATGACGGAAAGATGTGACCGCCTATTTAAATTGGACGCCAAGACAATTAGGCTCGAACGCGAAATAGAAGAAATAGCGGACGAATATCACTTCTTGAATTGGTGAGTAAAAATGTAGTTTAATATTATTATAATATAATATTAAATTTCATTAAAGGCACCTTGCCCCAGCATAAGGCATATTGTTATTCTTGGGTTTTGGGCTTGGGTTTTTGGGCTGAAGAATAACGGGGATTTGTGGGGGAAGGTGTTTTTTCTTGGTTTTGGGCTTGGGATTTTGGGCTAAGGAATAACGGGGATTTTTTGGCTTGGGATTTACGGGTTGATATTTGGCTTACGGGTATAACGGGGTTTTGGGAATATGGTTTCGGGATTTTTTGGCTTGGGATTTTGGGCTAAGGATTTCGGGAATATGGTTTCGGGATTTTTTGGCTTGGATTTTGGGCGCCGAGTTGGCGAAATGGTTCCATAAATTTTTGGGGCAAGGTGTCGGCTAACTACCCCACCCCACCCCCGGCCCGAAAAGCACTCCGAGTCCCCGGGCCGATGTTGTTGGCATACAGGTCCAGGCTGAGCTCTCGGAGCTGCGTGAGGTGGCCCAGTGAGCTGGCGAAGTGCTCGCAGCCTTCCTTGCCTCGGTGGGGAGGGAGGAAGCCTTGGGTCTCAAGATGACTCAAGGCAGTGGAGCTCGCCCTCACTTGTTGGGGGCGCAGGATCCTGAACCCGACTCGACTGCCATTCTGAAGCTGAGGCTGCCCTTGGGAGCCGACATTTAGTCCGAGCGGTTCATTGCAGATCCTACGCTCAACACTCGAAGCCAGCCTTGCGCTTGGAGCTCTGAACTCTCCGACAAGAGCGGGGGATTGCTGTTCAAAGCCCGCTCTCCGAATCGGCCGCCTCCCAATCTTTTTTTGGCCGAGCTGTGACACTTTCTGGCCGTTCCCGGAACGCTTCTTCTCCGGCATGCTTTGTTAAAGGCTCCTCAATTACAAACCTCACACACCCTGCAATGAGAACACATGAAAACCAAGCTATTTTGTTCGACATCCAGGCGTCATGGGGGGCTTGTCGCTCCCTGTGCTCCCTATCCTCCCGCTGGCTGTGTCCTGCTTCCTGAATCGTCCACCTCTCATCCCTGCGCCTCTCTATCTTTTCAAGAGTACATGAAAGGTGCATTTTGCCTCAGAGTCTTTGTATCGCGCGGTTTTCTGTCCAAGTCAGCTGCCCGACGCTTTCCCGCTCCGCCCGCCCCCCCCCTCCTCCAAACTCCACCAATGCAGGATCAGAATCAACTTTCACCGGAAGAAGAGATGGCCACGCGGCCACTCTCACAGTGTCTGGGCCCAGCTTACGAAACCCAGACCTTCCAGACCGTCACCGGTCGAGCGAAATTGTCCTGGACCACCGTCCGTTCTAAAGAAACTTTTAAGGAGAGCATGGAAATCAGGAGAAAAAAGAATTTCCACGAAAGCAGGTGAACAAAAAACTCAAAGATTTCCAGACCTTCCAGACCTCCGGTGTGCCGCTAAGCACCGTCGCAGGTCGAGCGAAATGCTGATGGACCACCGTTCTACCCTGCGCCTCTGAAACTTTTCAAGAGTACATGAAAGTTGCATTTTGCCCCCAAGTCAGCTGCCCCGACGCTTTCCCGCTCCACCAAAGCAGGATCGGATTCAACACTCACCGAAAGAAGAGATGGCCACGCGGCTACTCTCACAGTGTCTGGGCCCCTTGACCACGCCCAGCCTACGAACAAAGGAAATCCAGACCTTCCAGACCTCCGGTGTGCCGGTAAGCACCGTCGCAGGTCGAGCGAAACTTTCCTGGACCACCTACTGAAAATCCCGCAAACGCCATTGCAAAACCCCGCAAACGCCATTGCAAAATCCCGCAAACGCCATTGCAAAATCCCGCAATCGCCCCCTAAAATGAGTAGAAATCGAGCTAAAAGGGCGTTTGCGTAAATCCGCAAACGGGGGACACAATGGCTCAAACAATTTAACTCAAATATTTTTACACTTTCAGCAATTCGTGTCGCAAATAACCGCGCCCATTAATATAATAATATTTTTGTCCCAAAACAGTTTTAATATCATCAATGGTCTGAACTTCTTTCAGCCAATTGCTCACACGTTCTTTATCTAATTTATCTCTTTTCTTAAATATTTTAACTTTATCTGAAACCTGTAATTCGGGATATTTTCTTGTTTTAGTTGCATTCATGGCGATATTAGCCTTAACTTTGAGTTCATTTTCGGGCTTTCGTGCTTCTTTCGGTGTTAAACCAGTAGCCGAATGAACCATTTTGTTATTATATGTAAGCATAATTTCAAATATGTAATCTGTCCATTGAATATTCTCTTTACCTTTCTTTTCATCCGCTTCAATTCTTTTAAATAACATATCCTTAAAGGTGCGTATGTATCTCTCACTAAAAGAACTGTGTCCCCTTGTTTGATACGTTTCTATTTTCTCTTTATCAAAATATTCTCTTAATACACTACTGTTTAAACTACCTTCCTCGTCTGAATATATTAGCTCGGGGGCTTTACCCATTCTGTTTATTCCCTCCATTATTCCCGCTAATAAGTCGGGTGGTTGCTTACTTTTAATCGGAACAACAACCGCAAATTTACTACATACATCTATCATAGCTAAGCCAATCCTAAACTTTTGATTCTTCAAATCATTGTTTGTAATAAAGAACAAATCAATTTGGAACTCATAGAAACTATGAGGGGCAACAAACGAATTAAATCCCGACATAGGTTTCTTTCTTTCTATGTTCTTTTCATACCACGCCTTAACGTCAGCCATTGTAATACTCTTATCTTTAGCTTTAGCATCTTTAAAAGTTGTTGCTTGCGACCCAAACCCTGCTCTATCAAAGTAGATATCGGATACTATCTTATCTTTATTAGAATTACTCATAAAAATAAAGATGAGATTTAAATATTATTATTGTTCTGTTTGTTGTTGTAATGTTCGCAAATACTGTTTATGTCGTTCGCTTTTTACACATTATTTTCTCTGATAAACGGTCTTTTCTCTTTTGATAATATCCTTTCGCGCGTTCATTCACCTTTTCCCTGTTAAGGTCATCCAAAA